CTGCATGGAGCACTGGGTGTTATACACAAACAATGAATCATGGAACACTACATCAAAAACTAATGATGTAATGTATAATGACTAACATAATAAAATAAAATTTAAAAAAAAAAAAGCAAAGGCTAGAAGATGGAGCAGTCCTGTGAGTGTCATATTAGCAAAGCTAAGGAGTTTGGGTTTCTGAGCAGTTTCTGAGACAATGAGAAGCCATCAAAAGGAGAGAGAAGTGGGACAGGAAGCAGGTGAATGCATTTGTGCTTGGGTATGGAGAACAAAGGCACAGGAGTGAAAGCTTCTGGGAAACCATAATCCCATAGAATGACAATGGACTATCACTGTTATGAAAAGAAGGGCTATCTGTGTGGGCTAAGTGAGCAGGTGGGGACTAGCAAGAGTCATTCATAATTTCAAAGTCCTCTGTACTGGAGACAAAACACTCAAATCCCTATGGGATGCCAATTAGATGCCCAACTACTTCTGAGCAATATGTCTCAGCTTTATGGGGGGGTAGAAAAAATTAGCAAAAGAATGAACACCCAAAAAAGGACTTTTTTTTCCCAAACCGATGAAACTATTCAGCTCCAAGATCAAGTCCAGGACCTTGGAGTTACCTCTGTTCTAAGAGGAAAACAGAACCTTCTCCACTTGTGTAGATTTGGGGACTCACAATTCACTCAAACTCTAGCTTAAAGATAGTTTGCTTTGCCTTTGCCTGGTGTGCCTCCTTCCAGGCGACCACCTAGACTTGCAAACTGACTGGAGAAAGGGGCTTCTGTGGTTAAGAGAATGTTTCAGAGACCTGATAATCTCTACAGATCTTACAGTGAAATTTGGAACTATGGGAACATTCAAATACAACCAGCAGGGACGCCTGGGTGGCTCAGTCGGTTAAGTGTCTGCCTTTGGCTCAGGTCATGATCCCGGGGTCCTGGGATCGAGTCCCGCATCAGGATCCCTGCTCACCGGGAAGCCTACTTCTCCCTCTGCCTGACGCTCCCCCTGCTTGTGCTCTCTCTCTCTCTGTCTCTCTGTCTCTCTGACAAATAAATAAAATCTTTAAAAACAAAAAAACCAAATACGACCAGCATGCAAGACCTACAGTTTGTCTGACCATGACAGACTCCATTGGCTTCCTTCCCCACCTTCAGTTCAGCATACAAATATAAGGTCACAGTCATCTGAACTTTGGGACTATTCGAATTCTGGGGCAAGGAGGTTACCTGAGCACAGGAAGATAAATATCAAGAGATGCACAAAAGCATATGATTAGAATGATATGTTTAAGGAGGTAAAAAAAAAATCTCAAAAACAGAAGAAGATATGATCAAGGTGAAGGAGTACCCAGTAAAGGTGAAAATTTTCCTATGAGAAATTCCACAAGCATTATTTCTTTTAAAGTCAGTGTCTTTCAAAGAGGAACATATGGGAAGGGAGAAAAGAAAAAAAGGAGAGAGGGAAACAAATCATAAGAGACTCTTAAAGACAGAGAACAAACTGAGGGTTGACAGAGGGAGGTGGGTGGGGGATGGGCTAGATGGGGGATGGGCATTAAGGAGGACACTTGGGATGAGCATCGGGTGTTGTATGTAAGTGATGAATCACTGATTTCTACTCCAGAAACCAATATTGCACTATATGTTCACTACCTAAAATTTAAATTAAAAAGTTAGTGTCGTTCCCTACACCAAGGCTAGAAAGATATTAATTTCTATTTTCTACTAAAAGTTTAACAATTTTGCTTTTGACTAATGGCGGTTATTTTATCTGATGTTGATTTTTATGTCACGATGTGAAATATGGATCTAATTTTTTCCCCATACATTCCCCTTACTGAATACTTATTTTTCCCACTTATCTGTCATGCCACCTTAGGTCACATGTCAAAGTTCCAAATACAGGGATCTATTTTCAGACTCTCTAAGCTATTCCACTGGTCAGTTTATCTGTCTCTACACCAGTACCACATTATTTCTGTAACTTCATTATAAGGCTTGATACTTGACAGGGCAAGTCTTCAATCCTGCTATTATGCTTCAAATGTGTCTTCACTCTTCCAGTTTCTTTACTCTTTCATGCAAATTTTAGTATCAGTTTGCTCAATTCTATGAAAGACTCATGGGATTCTGAAGGAAACCACATTGAATTTATAGATCGATTAGATTAGAAATGACATCTTTCTGATATTATGTCTTCCGGTCCATGAACATGGAATATCTCTCTCCATTTATTAATATTCTTTAATGTCAAACCTTTTTATTTTTCTATATGATGACCTTACACATATTCAATTAAATTTATTAAGTACTTTAAGATTTTTGTTGATTTTTTACAATAGCAATGGTGTCTTCTTTGAATTGTATTTTCTGATCGCTACAGATTATAAAATGCCATTGATTTCCACAAATTTCTATCCAGCCACCTTACCAAACGTTCCTATTTCTTTGAAGAGTCAATAAGGTGTTCAATGTAAACAATCATATTAACCTGCATATACTGCCAGAGGGTTTTTTTTTTTTTCTCTCCTTTCCAATGCTTAGGCCTCTAATTTTTTTTTTTTTTAAGAAATTTTGCCCTGCTAGGATGGCCACAGAATGTTGAACAGAAAGTGTGCTAACAAATATTCTTGTCATCTTCCTGATTTTAAAGATGATGTTTCTAATGTTTTCCTATTGTTCATGTTTATTGTAGGATTTTTACAGATGACCTTAATCAAATTAAGAAAATTCCCTTTTATTTTATTGTTTTTAATAATAAAATTATACTGAATTTTATCAAATATTTTTGTGAATCTAATGAGCTGATCATATGGATTTTTCCCTTTAATCTTTTTAAGATTTTATTTATTTATTTGTCAGAGAGAGAGAGAGCAAGCACTCAAGCAGGGGGAGCAGCAGGCAAAGGGAGAAGCAGGTTCCCCACTGAGCAAGGAGCCTGATGTGGTACTCAATCCCAGGACCCTGGGATCATGACCTGACACTTAACCAACTGAGCCATCCAGTCCCTTCCCCTTTAATCTTTTAATGTAGTAAATGATACTAATATATTTTCTAAAACTAAACCATACTTGCATTCCTGGGATAAATCCAGAAACTATAAAAAGACTTCACAAATATTCATTACAAATGCTGTCTTCAAATTATAAAGAGACTTAAAAGCCAAGGGGAAAAATACGTAATTTGGTATTGATCAGAGAACAATGGAAGGTTTTTGACAGGGAACTAATAAGATTAGAGCTCCTAAAAGGCCAGTGGACAGACATTATTAGTTCTGTTTCACATATATGGAATAGGGCCATTTTGGAAACACTGACAACACTCTCCAGTGTGACTAATGAACAGGAAGGCTTGCTCTTCCTTGTTGTGTGGCTCTTTGCACTTTCTGGCCTGCCAAAATGGTCCAATAATGAAGTAGCCCTGTTAATACAATGTTGTGTTTACCAAAAGGTTTCAAACACACAGATTGTCTATTCAAAGGATTAAAGTTCAACAAAAAGCAATTCATACCAAAGCCAGCTTGACCATTGGGCTGGTTAGGAAATGGGCGTCTGATCTCCCCACTCCATCCAGAGCCCTTTCCACCCTTGATATAGGGGCAAGGGTTGACATCAGAAAGATCCTAAGGCCTCTTTCTTACCCTGCTCTGCACCTCTGTGATAACATGGGAAGTCTGGAGTAGACTATGGATCCCTGGTTTCTGGAAGGTACAAG